GCTACCAGGAAAATAAAAGCTATAAACAGTATTCATTGGTACAGCATTTCCAGTGATTACTGAAAAACAAACAATAAACACCTTAAATACCATTTATAAGTCCTGTTACTAAGTGGATTTAAAATCCACAGAAGATTAGGGGAAAAAACATTTCAGTTTGGGGAACACATCTCCGAGTCCACAGAAAACTACCATCAACTTGCTACAAAAATGAAAGCTTTATAGTTTGGCCTATCTTGTAATGTTCTCTAAAAGTCAGACTTAAGTCTGACTATATTTTGAAGAGGGTTTTCAAACTTCAAAAAACAACAGGCAAACAAAAAAATCTCCTTCAAAATGCATTTTCCTTTTTCTTGGCAAAGCTGATCCTCCTGTGGAGCTGAAGGATTTATCTGAAGAAATCTTTCAGTTTCCTTACCTCTAATTCACAATAGTTCTAGGATTACAGCATTACTGTTTTCTCTCAGGTCATGCATAGAGAAGATTACTTCTGGACATGTCTGCACTGTGCTTATTGAAGACTTCAATAACGTAATGCAGATTTATTTACAATGAAGACTTTCAGCGTGAATGAAAAGCACAGTTCAAACACAGACACTTATCAATCTTGCCTGTACTAAAATACACACAAGTTGGAACCTTAACTTATACTAAGTGCACGCTTCAACATTTTGAGGTATCTTTCCTGGTTTAGGGAAATGACAACAGCTCTAGAAAAAGTAACTTCTTTTATATCTTTTTATTGTCACCATCCCAACAGAACAGTTAATATTGAATCATTTGCTGGATGCAAAATTTGAGTGAAGTTACAATTCTTGAAATTAATACTTGTTCCTTGATGCTTTTTTCAGGGTTCTCCATGTTCTCCAATGCATTTACTTACGAAGGGGGCAAATTACAAAGAATAAAGTGTTTTACACCACTGAGAAGATAAATTATTCATCCCACAATCCTTAACAATTTCATATTCAGGGATCCTAGAGAGAATATGTAAGTGAATCACAGAAATTGAAAATAAACTCTATAGTAAATATAATCTTTCCTCTGATGTGTGCTGTGTACTGGAGATGGCACTGTCTCTCACAGGCACACTCTTAACCTCCAAACAAGTGGAAGACTTGGCTACAAAAACACTTTTAACAGAGAAATCGAGCCTTCAGAAGGAAAGTTAAAAATCAATGACATTTTCAGCTCTCAAAAAACAGCTTTGCTGATGGAGACTGCTTTTGAAGACAAATGTTAATCAGGGTGTGGTAAGCTGCGATGAAGCAAGCCAACAACAGCACCGTTATTTTCTTTCTTGTGCTATCAATGTCATTACACAGATACTGACATTTTTCAGCAGAGACCAAGCAGTAGTGCACACTACAGCAACCTCTCCCACAAACAGCCTTCAGAAGGTTGAAAATGTTTTTCGTGGTACAAAACTTCCCTCTGCGATCATCCCTTTAAAATACACTGCCTTTTCTATTGCTCATTCTGCATTGACCAAACCAGTTCTATCATAAACCATAAGGCAACAGCTTCAACGAGTGCCTGCTGAGTGCTCTCTCACAGCTTAAGCTTTCAGTGTGTGTATATAGAAGCTGACAGTAAAAACAACAACTCAAGTATTACAGTTGAGGTTCCATTTACTGCTTTGCTTTCTCTTCCCACTGTCGAAAATGACTGATCAAACCTGACCCCCCCAAAAACCCACAAGATCTTCCCTGAGAGGCGCAGTTACACTGAAACGGTACCAAAGCACCACAGCCGTTCCGTGACCTCTGGAAAGCTGCGTTAACAACTGCAAACCAAACACGAACACACACGGCTGTACCACAGAACCCGTCTGACTATAGGCCCGCAACTGGGCTACGCTGGTGTTGCACAACTCAGAGATATACTAGAAAGGACGAGGAAAAAGGCCTGCCGCTACCATACCAGAGCGCTGCGCTCGGAAGCCAGCACCCCTCCGCCTGGGGCCGGACCCAACCCTCAGCTGCGGCCCCCGGCCTGCCCCCTGCCCGCTCACCAAGCCGCCGCCGCCCTCGTTCGCCACATCCTAAAGGCCGGGAGGTGCCGGGGAGGAGGAGAAGGAAGAAAGGCCGCACAGGAGCTCCTCCGTCGCAGCCGCGGCCAAGGGCAGGGGGAGCCGCCGCCGCCGGGCTGCCGGACCGCTCCGCTTCCGGGTCCCCGGTCCGCGCTGTGAGGTCCGGCTGGAAACTCCGCCCCTCCCAAAGGTTCCGGCTGCGCCGGCTGCGAGGCGCTCGTGGCAGTTCCAGCCCGGCTGAGGCATGCGGCACCTGGGGCTGTGCTGCTGAAGCGGTGGGGACCCTCCCGTTCCCGGAGGGGCTCAAACGGCTGTGATGCCGGAGAAGGGCACGGAGCAGGTGGCAGCGCTGCCTCGGGTGCTGAAAAGCGGGAGGCGTGTCGGTGCGCTTCTGCCCGCTGTTGGGTCGCAGGCAGGATGCCTGGAAGTGGAAGAGGAACCAAGAGGGATCAGCAGGGCTGTTTCTCTGCCCACAGACGGTCGTTTCATGCAATTCTTGGCGTGCGCCAAGCCGCTGTGTACAGACCTCAGGCGCTGGAGTCTGGTAGTGCCAGTGCTTGTCATGACTTCTCAGAGCCTCCCTCAGGTTGCACAACACGAAGTCCATCTTCCTTGCACACCGTGTCTCCCAGCTCCTTTCACTTTCTTCTCTGTGCTGTCTCCGGGCACCCTGACCATTGCAGGACACAAAGAGAAGCTTGGGGTGTGTTATAGGTCAGGCTGCTGTTAATCGCAGGGGAGGTTGGAGTAGACGATGTTTAAAGAACACTTTCAGGTTGGATATTAGGAAAAATCTCTTTCTCAGAAAGAAGGGTAATGCATTGGGACCGGCTGCCCAGGGAGGTGATGGAGTCATTGTCCCTGGAGATGTGGTTTTTATCTGTTTTTAAAGCAAATTTCAAATTAATAAGAGGAATGGTGACACTGTTGGTAGAAGCCAATACAAGTAACAGTTTACGTGCATAAACAGGTCTGTAATGCTTAGTTTGAACAGTAGAGGGCATAATTTAACTGAAAGTTCTGCCTCAGGGTGTGAAGTTGCATTTTCTTCAGATAAAAGTCCTCCTTAAGAAAATGGACAAATTCCACCATCTTCATTCTTTCTGGTTTAACAGACTTTTCTGAAATGCTATGCCAGGTTGCCAATCTATGGAAATTATGAATTTTTTAACTCTTTAATCTACGCCTCCTTTATTTTCAGTCATGAAGGTGCAAATCTCCCAGTATACATAGGAGTTATATAGGAGTTATATAGGAGTAGAAAATGTCAACAGAAGCTGGACTCAGGCTATAAGCAATGAATAGATTGGGTGAGTTGTGATTCTTCCCTGGAGTTCCGGGTTTGGTGTGATCTGTTTGATACTTTCTTCTCCATGGAAGGGCTGTCCAGTGACACATGCTACATCATTCTCTCCTTCATGCACCATAAGGAGCAAAGCTGACATTTGATGAAGCACCAAAAGCTGATCAGGCAGAAAAATTGTTTGTGGCACTCCTGTTTTCCACTGCTGTCACCTCCCAAAATAATGAGTCATTTCCCAAAACCATCAGTCTGCTTTGGAAAAGATGCCTTTGCAGTTGTTTCCTGTCTGTTTTAGATTTTAAATAGTGCTGAACTTTATAAATACGTTTATCATAAATGGACTATATTGTATTCTTTCTAATTTTTAGTGGGAAATCTTGACTCTTAGGTAATGACTGGAGTTTTTGTTGCCGAGTCTCAGAAGAACAAACTGAAATGGGCAATTTTTCTTGTGTTGGTTGGCCTACCGCCTTCATTTCCTCTTTTCTCTTCCAACCATTTCTGACTTTTCAGTTTTTCTGAGTCTTCCTATCCTGCCCATTGCATGAAACAGGCAATGGCCATTCATGGTGCTTGAGATGTTTGTGGCTTATACAAGTGCTTGCCACGTGGAATTGAAGTGCAGATGAGCAGGAACAAACTTGGCACGTCCTGGTCTGTTTCAGTCATTCTAGAAATAATAATTTAGTTTCCTTAACGTATTTTCTGGAAGAACAGGTTTGCCTCTCCTGACCTCATTCCTACAATGTTTGATGTATAACTTCTTAAAAAATAGCAAAGGACAAGGAAACAGTAAAGACAATGAGAATGAATCACAGGAATAATAAACAATTCAGCCCAGAGAAGTGAAAAAAGGAAGTGATAAAACCCTGATTGCTGTTTTTGTTTCTTTTAATTTTTATTATTATTTTGCCAGCTTCATTTTGACCCTGTATAAGAGGTCAGAGACTTTTGCACCCAGCTCTCTGACATCAGTGAGGAGCTCTAGTTTTGCTGAAGTGTGAATAAATAACTATAATTACTTTCCCCAAAGTTACATGGTAAGGTCAGAAGATGTTCTGTGACAATATTTTTAATAATTAACAAAAATATTGATCACAGACCCTACATGGCTGGATCCTTACACATAGTACATAAATCCACCTGCACAAACTAGAGCCAGAACTTGAATTTTCTCCAAGGAATATGAAGGAATCACAGCTGGACGGGCTGGTTGCTAAGAGTATAATAACAACAAGGCCTGTTGTCCTTCTCATTTGGACACGCTCCCTAGTCCGCAGTAATTCTATAATCTCTTGAGGAAACATATTCACCTCTTGCCCACCCCTGAAATATGCATGCCAGCAGCACTATCAGAGCTATGATTAGGATTCCTGTTCTGACAAATGCTTATCAGATCTATTTTTTTCTTTCTCCCAGTGTCTTCGAGTGAGTTTTATTTCAAGGTATCCCCTCAATCTCAAAACCCCAACAACAGAATGAAAGGAGGAGGGATGAATGTTACCTGTTTACCCCACAGAGAGGGAGGAGCTCCATTCTTCAAACAAAAGCAGAGTTAGAAAGAAGGTGTGTACTTAGAACACTTCCTCAATGTGGACATTCAAGCCACACAGCACTGAAGACTTGTCCTGAGGGTGCTGTAGAAAGTCTCCAGAAGGTCATTTCATGGGGGAAAATCCTACTAAGAGCCATCATGCACTGCTTAACCAGGGAGAGGAGAATGAAATGGTGAGTTGTTTTACCTTTGTCTAGGTCTTTCTCAACTCAAAGCAGCAGATGACATGTGTTCTGCAATAAAATGATACAGTCTGTAATTTAATTATGAATGGTGGTATCTCCATAGCAGAAACATACAGTTATAGAGAGATATATATGCGTGTATATATATATATATATATATATATATATTTAACTGAGAGAATAAGTTGGACATGTCCACTAGATGTAATTGATTTTTACCTCCAGCAGAAGATAACTTCACAGAATCTTAGAAGAAGTTGACAGAATACTGATGTAGTATTATGAAACTAGCCAGTGCTGGCCTTGTCCCAGCCTGAGGGTTGGCCTAGAGTAGTGTTTCTAACCATTTAACAGCTGAATCTCTATGGTGAGATCCATCTGGATGAGATGGGAATCTTGATCTTCTCTAGAACTAAACAAACAAACAAACAAACAAAAAAAACCCTGAAACACTTCTGTTTGTATAAATTGTTAGCTAAAGCAGTCTGTTGAATTAGCAACACTATTTTAGCCTGGGAACATGTATTAAACTGGATTTCTAATTACAGAACTATGGTTTTTCTACGGAGGAGAATGTTGTTGAGTGTGTTTCTAATAGAACAACATTGAATGTTGCTCCTGGCTTCAGAGGGAATGGGAACAAACCTCTAATGAAAGAAGTTCCAATTGCTAAGAATGAGATTCAGATATTAAATTCATTGTGAATCTTTACCAGTCTTTCAAGTCTAATCCTATTATCTGTTGCTACAGCAACAAGTTATTAGTAATAGGGTACCTGGTGGCTGGGTTGCCAGAATTATGATATTTCAGCCACTCTTCAGATTCCTTTCTCTTTAGTAATTACAAGCCATGTTTTCGCCAAGGAAAAGGATGCTTGAACTTGTTTCGTTTTTGCATTTAATTTCTACTGAGCAGATGACTCTGCAGTTACAGGGAATTTTTCTTTTAACTGTAAGTAACAGACCTGCTGAATATTAGAGTAATAAGACCTTGAGAACTGGCTTTGTATGATTGTAAATGCAGCTAAGAGCTTTTCATTGAATAATCATGTTTCCTGCCAACTGAGCAGGTCTGATAGTCCAGTAATTCATTGTCCCTCCCTAGACCCCTCACTCACAAGTTGGAACCCTTCTCTATTTGTTACTCTTCGGACTGTTAGGAATTCCAAGAGAAAGGCATTGTCAACAGGCAAGGAAACAGTTTTACAATACACTACAATTAATTAAAAATTATGGCACAGAAATGAGATGAGTTCTCCGTACAGCCTCTTTTGTAGGCAGTGCTATGTTCTACAAAATAACAAGAAACCCTTTGGAGTATTACAGATAGCTAGTCTTAGCTTTGGTTTCTACCACCTGTAAGTTTTGTGCTGTTAAGAACCCAGGTTATTTGACTGCATGTTATATATCAAGCCATAACAACCTGCCCATGGAATACGGAAGGTGCAAATCTGCATATTTCAGGTGAGCATGTCTACATTAGTACTACTTCCTTGTGCAGTGAAATACAAACCAAAAGAAGTTATTTTCTTCCTTACCAACACAAAAGCAAGCTGACAGGTATTCTCTTACTGGTAACATCAACACCAGGATATTTGTCAGCTCAGGAAGCATTGTATATAATAGCAGACATAGATTTTCTTGGGAGATCTTTGCAGTATTGACCTAGCAAATCCTGAATAAGCTTGAAGGCTTTCCAAACACTAATAACTCTAAGACATTCACGTGGCTAGATAAACTTGCTGAGAAACTTTCATGATATATGTGCCTATTCCCACTTTTTCATACACATTGTGATTACCAGTGTTGGATCAAATATTCACCTTTTTTTTTCTTTTTTGAGAAGGGGATATTTTGAGAATTCTTCTGAAGAACAAATCCTTATTGACTTACTTGATAAATGAGAAGTGGTTTTATTTATTCTGTTTCTTTTTAAGCAAGGAATTATTTATCTACTAAATATTCTTATGAATCCATCATTCATTACTTAAGTTCTTCCTGCAGAAAGCACAGTCAGAAAAACAGCTGAATCTAACAGGAAGCAGAGCGCTGAAAGGAGAGCTTTGGGACAAGTAAGGTTTGGAGCTTGGTTTGTTTCCCTGTTCAGTTTTACATCAGAAAGATGTGGCCCAGGTAACGTGCTCCAGACACTTCCAAACCTTGCTTTACTTTGGCTTTAGTTTTCAGCTGCTCACCCAGATATGAAACAGCAATTAACATCTGTTGTTTATTCTTTCCCAGGCCACTTCTTGTAGAGCTCCTGAACACCTACATTCAGAAATGTCATGTTCATCAAGAAACAAACCAACCTGAACCAACACTAGTGTTCTTAGGGCAGAGTGTGCACTGTGTCAAAACAGCTTAAAAGTATCTATGTCAGGCACTTCCCTTGTCAGAATCAGCAAGATTTAACAGTACTGGATGACCTGAGAGCAAGGCCATTTTTTCCCCCAGCTATTTTCCTTCTCTTCCTGTGTCCTAGTTTTCAAGATGGGAAATACTGATGCTTTCTTGATTTTGAAAAATATCTTGAGATCTAGAGAGTTAAACTGTTTTGTTTTGTTTTGTTTGAGGGGAAAACAAAGGCTTGAAAATACGCAGGTGTAGGTAGAACTCAAGATTTTGATATATAGATGCCCGTTTTTCTAGGTGGAGAAAGACAGAATCTGCCTTAGCTCTGTGGATTCTGTTTGCTCTGTTTGCTCACTGTTTCTGTTTGCTTGCCGTTCTGTGAATGCCCTGCAGTATACAGGGATTAATTGTTTGCAGTGTATTTTTATTTAAGCCCTTTTGGATGTTGATTTGCATAAACTAGGAAGCCTCATTTCAAAAATACAAAAAATATGAACAGATGCATTTTGCCACATGACTCACCCCAACTTTGCCATTGTGAAAGAGGACACCATTATCCCTCCAAACACATTGCTTTGGTGGGTGGACCTCTTGGTTAATTTGACATGTAAGGCTTGGGGAATCATTCGGCATTTCTGAAGAGAAGAACACTGCCAGCAGAAGATGAGCCCAAATGGCTGCCAATCACACACTAGGTGCCCACCCTCACCCTTTTTAATTGTACTACCTACAGCTTTATTGACCTCTCAGACTTTGGGTGTAAGGCACAAAAGCTGGAAATTAAAGGAATGAATCACTCACAGAAGCAAGATGCACATGGCAGCAATCTCATTCTTCCCCACCCTGATATACAGGCCCATCCCAATTTGGAAAGATTATTCTAGTTATTTCAGGTCCAGCTATTTACTGCAGGAAATCTGAAGGCACGCTCTTTTAACAGTTCTTCCCTTAGGCATCTCTATCTACTTGGGAGTTTCTTTACTTGCTGACAGGCTGTGATGTCTAGAGACAGGCATCCGCATCTTGCTAGTAACTAATTGTTGCAAACTGTGAGTTTGCATCATTGTATTGTACTATTCTGTATGCTAGTGTTGACGCTAATTTTGTAACCTGTTTGTTGAGAATACAACAAGACAGAAGTGCATGGAAAGCCTGTCTATTGGAGCAATTAGGGAATACTAATAGCACGACAGCTACACCAACCACCTTAAAACAGTGTTGCCTATCTGCTGGCCTGCATGAACTTCCTTTTGTCTGCAGCAGTGCCTTATATGCTGCTCAGAGGCTATAGAAACCTCTGAAAATGCTGAGCATGTGCATCTCAAGGTGGTATAAACAGGTCCTGCACAATGCAAGCCAATTTCTTGTGTAGCCTGTCATACTTTTTTCCACAGTTGCCATTTTCTTCTGTTTATAAGCCCTATGGAGACCACCTAGGTGAATGGAGTCCATCTTCTGGGGAATGACAGAGTGCAGGCAGGTTGTTGCAGTGAGCGGAAGCACTGGGTAGGGCCTGCGTTTCGCATAATAAGCAAAGGCACCAGCACAGAACCAGGAATTATGTATTACTCATCCTTCCAATTACATTATCTTTTCTTCTCCCCTTGTGAATAGATCTTGCAATATCTGTAGCTGCGGATATCTGATCTTGAGAAGCAGATTGCACAATTGCTGCAGATATACTAAGAAGAAGGAGATTGAGGAATCTTAACCCTTACGTTAGCAAATTCCCTTGGTCATCTGATGTAATTGCGGCTATTCTATCTTTCTCTTAGATCAGGACTCGGTCTGCTCTGTAAAGTCACGTTGTACACTTTGTTTCACCTTTAACCAACCTCTGATAGCACCACAGAGAGAGAATTTGGCCATGGTACCATGACCAGGCAGTTCTTAAACTATAATGCTGACAGTCATCCCTTTGAAGTTTTGGGCAGGTCACCTTGCCTCATTGTAACAATTTCCCCAGCTTTAAAAAGGAATAATGATACCTACTCATATAGCTACAGAGAGTAGCTTCCTTTTGCCCTCTGAACATGTAAAGCATTGTGCAAGTGTTCATTAGCTGTTCCTAATAACAGTTATTATTATTTTGGGATGTTAGGACAGTAGCATATTGGCAAGGACCCAAATCCCCACACTGAAGCTGTTGTGGAAGGTGGTAACAGCCCTACAAACACAGTGCCAAGTTTTACAATGCAGCTCCAGCAGGTTTCACCCAGAGATCTTAAGAAAAGCTGAGCAAGCAAGCTTGGCTTCCTGTCTCAAGGCCTAAATGTTAGGACCTTTATATTTTGATATCATTTCAAATCATTCTTACTTTTTCATCCACAGAATCACAACTAAATAAAGCTATATTAGAAGTTTGGACAGACTACAGGAATACGGATTTTGTGGAAGCAAACTGTACAACAAGCAAAATTATTTTCTGATCATGTACTATAAAGAAGCAAAATGAAATTTCTACAACTCTGTGGTTTTGTATTCGTCCCACCTCCCACGTCCCCCACAATACCACACCAAACATTATCTATGGAAGAACAGTGGATGATGGGAATCTATATTATTCCAGGTGTAAGAATGATTCTTTCCTTCTCTTTGCTGCGCAGGAAATCTTTGGCTACAAAACCCAGCGCTGCCGGAAGGCCCTGAGCATTGCTGGGTACATCTTGTCCTGTGGGGCTCTCCTGCTGCTGTTCTACTGGAAACCAGAATGGGATGTGTGGGCAAACTGTGTCCCCTGCAGCTTGGAAGAAGCAGAAGTTGTGTTGCTTAGAACAACAGTAGGTGCCTACTTTAATCCTTAAATTAGTCCCTAGTATGTAGTTAATTGGAAGGTGAGTTAACTGGAATGAATCCAGTAAGCTGAAATCTCATGTTGCTGATGTATTGCAGTAATATCATATATTTGCTATAACTGAGTTACAGAACTCTCAACCATTACACAAACTATGTGTAAGATGATGATTGGAATGAAGGTTAACAACTGATCAGGCAACGAATTGAAAGATTGTGGTGAAAAATCTGTAATATCTGTGATTTCATGCCTGCGTTCTTTGCTTTCAAGTCTTCCTGCTCCCTTCCACCATCCCTGTTTTCTGCACTGCTAATCCTTTCTCAAGAAACCAAAGCATCAATCTTTCTCCATGTCCATTAAGATGATAATCCTGCAGAGAATGCTTTCAGGGCTGTTACATTTGGCTGGTAGTTCTTCCATCTGTTGAAGATTGTGCTGAAGCTCTGCAGCATACCTTGATTTCATTTTGGGAAAACTACTGCAAAACTGAAAGAAGCAAATAGAAACTTGATTTTGTATCCTAGATGAGCCTAAGTACTCCAGAAACTGGCAGGGTTTGTTCACTTCCAGAAGTTTGATTTTTTTTTTTTTTTTTTTTTTGCTTTAAAGATTCCTGAATAATGACATGTGCTATTACAAACTGTGCCACCATTGTGTCTGAGCTACCTTCTTAAATGAGCACAACAGTTTGCAGCTAGAATGCTGGGCTTTGAAAATCACAGATCTGCCTGTTGCATATTTTATGTGTAAACTGCAATCTAATATGCCAGGGGGGAGATTTTTTTAAAAAAACTTTTTTTTTTTTTTTTTTAAGAAGTGTATTAGGTTTAATCTTGCTTTTTAATCTTCAGTTTGGTTTGCATTTTTAATTACCCACTCTCATGTGTCATTTTAAATGGATTTGCTATGCCAAGCACTTTTCAGATAAATGGGTTTTAAAATGTTCCTTTGTGTAATTAAACAAGAATTGAATCAGATTGTAAATTCTTCTTATCAGTAAGCTCTCTGAAAATATGCTCTGGGCATTTGCAATTGCAGATTTCTTTCTTGTGTTCCTTACTTGAAAACGACAGGTATTTTTCCCTACGTTCTTTATGATTATGTTAGTTCTCAAATATGATGGCTACTGCTAATGACAATACAGGTAATCTTGTAAGCTTGATCCTGAGAGTTATCTTGTGCCTTACATAAAACCTTCATTCATAATTTATCATCATTTCTACAATGGCAATTCAAGAGCTTATTAACTCACTTTTGTTATTAAAGTTAGTCTCACTTCAATTTAAATAATGAGCACCTGTGTTATTGATTGCTTCCCATCTTAGTCTACATCGCAATGAATACTAATTCTAAAATTTAAATTGAAGATATCAGAAAATAAATGATATTTGACTCAAAATATGGGTGTAAGTAGAGAAGTGCACAAATAATTAAGATATATTAAAATTCTTAAAGATCTTCTTCTGAACCCTTAAATTATTCAAAAAGATGCATATTTGGTACAGAATCCTACATTTCTGTTGTCAGATCCAAGGAAAGTGTAACAACTTAGTTTCCAGAACCTGGCTAGCTGAAGTAATCAGCTTTCTCCATCTGCCCAACTTCTTATATACTGAATATGCTATAAGTCAGTCATATAGCTAGCTTTAATGCATGTGGTTCGATGTTCAGACCTGAGACTTAACATGCTGGTGCTTATTATAGCAGTTGTTCATATCTCTAAGACTGAACCACCAGTGCTAGTTATCAGGCAGTTCCAGTGTTGAACTTACTTCATTACAAAAATAGCAAGAGCGTGAGCTGAGTTTGTGGCAAAATCTTGTCTAAGGTAAGAGTATCATGGTGCTATTGGAACATTTGTTCCAATGAAATGTTAACACAGGAATGACTATGAAAAGCATTAAATATCCATCTTGCAACACAGGACTATATGCTACTTGACCTTTTCTTTACAGTATGATCACTACATCTCAGATTGTCCCATACTATTTGCCTGTTCATTGATCACGACCTAAGTGTTCATATTCCATCCTTATCAGCCAAGCAACAGACCTCTGCTCAGTGAATTACTTTGTAGTACTTGCATTCTGACAGGACTGTGGTTCTGCTAGCGTTCTGCTGATTTATCTATCAATCACAGGTACTGGAAGGATGCTGTTGGATAGTTCTTTAAAAAAAGTTGAGCAATTCTCTAGAACAGCCCACAGTAATCATTCACTTTATAGTGATAATGAGTTTGGTCTGATCTTGAGGGAAATTGTGCTGCTTTTATATTTGTTTAGGATGAATTTCGGATTTATTCACATAAGCATGTGACATGGATCTCTGTGTCTGGAATTATCAGAAGTAGATTGGATTATCCAAGCATTGCTGAGGAAGATTCAATCTTCAACAAAGCCTTAATGAAGCCAAGTTTACAGGTAAGTCAATTATTGCCTGCAGCATCTGGGAGATGTACCAAATCTCAACCAGGCTTTGTGGGGTGAAAGTGAGCTGTGAAACATACTCAGCTAAGAGACCTGCTGCTGCATCAATTTGTGCTTTAATGTGTATTTGTTGGAGTCTGGTCTTGATCTGTCCACTGTTCTTGCAAAAATGTATCCTGACCTCTTACAGTTCCAGAGCTTGGAGATGCCAGTGAGGCACTGAGAATAAGGCAGAAGATTAATTGATTCAAGCAGATCATGTGATCCCTCATGATTTCAGTAAACGCAATTAACTCGGTTTCAGAACAAGTAGAAGATAGGGTATAGACACTAGATCACTGCACTTGGTAGCCCATAAAAGAGCTGTATGCCCCTTCCAAGAAATAGATTTCTAACTTGTTAGTATTTATTTTTCTATCTACAGTAATTTATTTCATGAGAAATTTTCATTATTATAAACATAAGTTCAGCTGAGCAAAGCTATTGCCTTTTTTGCTGTTCTGTGTGGGCATATCTTAACGTACGTATGAAATTTTAGTGCCAGCTTGTTTAATAGGCTGGCACAGTATGAAAGTGAGGACTGATTTGTAACATTCTTCAGAGGATTGAATTAGCAACATCGAAAAAATGAAACAAAACAATATAGCCCCTAAATAATAGACCCTTTGAGCAACACTCACATGAGTCAAAACATCTTTGTAGAAAAGAACAGATTTCAAGAAGCAAAGAGCAAATAGTTTAATACTTCACTAACAATTCAAAAGCCTTTACTGACATTTTGTTTATTAGACGCTACTGCCTTTTAAGCTACTTAATTCCACAGAGTACTGTGTAATGCCCGAGAGCTGCCCAAGGACTACTCCTGAAGCAAGTTGTCTCTCTCATTTCCCAGTGTGGTTTTAGCATTTCAAATACTGGAACTCCTTTGCATGCATCTAACTACAAACCTCTTGTTAAGTTAATGACTGGTTATAGCTCCATTTTGTATCAGGGTATGAGTTCACTATAAATTTCATTGTCTTAATTCACTGGATAGGGAGAGTCTTCTAAAGCTGCTTTCTTATGTGCGTAGGTGCATTGCCTTCTTCCAGCTGGTATGAAACACCATTATCTTTAACAGGCTTCATTGTTATTGCACAGGGCAGGAAATTCTCCTTTGCATGTCATAAATGACAGCATGCGTTCCTCACAGATAACAGCTCTGCAAGGGCTAAGGATTAGCAGTGGCTCAGAAACCATCCTGGAAGAGCCTTTCTTGTCCATTGGAATGTCTGAGCAGGCCTGTGAGAATTGTTGTTTGCTGTGCTGCAGCTCTTGCTGCCTCTGCTTTATTTTGCAGGTGAAAAGTATCCAAGTACAAAAAATCCGCTATGTCTGGAATATCTATGCAAAGCAGTTCCAGAAAGTTGGGTGAGTTCCATACAATGATTATACAAGACTCCAAGGAAGTCGAACATTTTGGGACTAATGTCCTGAGGAAAACATACTATTTATATTTTAGAGCCCTAGAAGACCACCACACTTGTTCAGCTATACACGCCAAATTTAGTTCTGGTCTTACCTGCAATGAACAGAGTCTCAGGTACGTATTTTAAAACACTCTGAGTACTCAGCATATGGATTTCAAAGAGATTAAAATTCATTGTTCTCGGTACGCTTTTCTTGAGCTTCTTTTGCATACATTAAAATGCACATAATTTTAGATGAAGTGGCCATGCTTGAAAAACTGAATTAAAAATGCTAGAATGTTGTGTGTTCCTTATCAAGGTTATAAAATGCCTTTGAGTATTGATCACTGTTACTCTTCTCAATCAAGAAAAAACTATGCTTTGTAACTAACTCTGAGCTGTTCTTGCTTGGACTAGCAGAAAGTCTTCAGGAGATGGTGTAGATAAGTTGCACGTGTGCTTCTTCAGTGGGATTCCATGTAGTTGTATTGAACTTGTATTGAATTGGCTGTGTTACAATTCTTGGTTCTTGGTTTGAGTTGATTTCACTGGTAAATCCATCTTTTCTGACATAAGCATGGTAAAGGATATTTTTTAAACTTTTTTTCTTAGAGAAAGATCCTCACAGATTTTAAATTTAGATCAATACAAGCCTTTGGGACTATTAGCAGCTGCAGCTTCTTGAGCTATAGTCACTACTTTACCTGTAAATGATGTATCTTTATCCCATACAGGAGAGTGATATGTGGGCCAAACACTATTGATGTCCCAGTGATCCCTATTTGGAAACTACTCATCAAAGAGGTTCAGCATTTCTGTCAATTTTACTCTTAAGGCTACTTTGGAAGTTAGAACATACGTATAGAATATGATAGACTCTGTGTCTTGCTAGTTTCTCAGTTCCCACCTATCAAGCACACAATTTTTTCAAATCCTTTTTGTGAAATCATCATAAATTCATTTCTTCTCCATTGTTCTGTATGTACCACACTCACACTTGTGTAGCTGCTTACTGTTTGCTTGTGTCTGTGTCCTGGGAGCTTATTCTGTTGGCCTTATAAGGGTCAGTGAATGTTTACAAACTGCATTGGAAATCAAATCTTCCAGGCAAAGGTTATCTCTGAATCAGCAGAGATGACATGAACAGCACTAGCTGGCATATGCCTATGGCTACACAGCGATGTGTAAAGTGCCAATGTCCTTTTTTGACTACAACTGTATACATGCATGGCCTAAGCAGAGTGTTTGTGGTGATGTATTACTCATAGTGTGCAAGCACCCTGCTCACTTCACAGCCTGATCTCAGCTTCTTGTAAAGAACAAAGCAAAACAAAGATTGGGTTGATTGGATTGAGCCAAATAACATCCTTTTTGTCCCTGATTATTTGGCACTTTTGTTCCATGGAGATGGGCCAGAATGATTAGGCTCACAAAATCAGAAAGATTGTGGGGAGAGATAACAATTAACTCCATAGCTTTTATTTCAACCTACTTCTAACAAGATGTGCTGTCTGGGGATACTGGAGCCATTTAGATATGGCCAACTTTTGAGTAATTTTTTCTCTCCAAACAGGTCTTAAATCCTTTTTACGTATTCCAGTTGTTCAGTGTTTGTCTGTGGTTTGCTGAAGATTACATGGAGTATGCTGCTGCCATCATAATCATGTCTCTCCTCTCAATTTCTTTGACTGTATATGATCTTAGGCAGGTAGGTGAGACATCCCACCTTTCTCCACAAAGAGGTTTTGTTTCTAATATCTAGGAAAGCTCAGGATGTTGCAACAAGCACATGTACCGGGCTCTGAGAGTTACTCAAAGGCTTAGCAGGTGCAGTGGCTTGGCTTCCTAGTCATAATAAGCTCTGTGTGGTACTTTAACCACATCCTCCCTTCCGCATTCCAGGGCTTTGCTTTATAACCTTTTGTTGCATCGTCTTCACAATTAAGGTGGGGAGCTTCTTTTTCTGTATGATTGTACATTTCCTGGCAGGGACAGACCCCAATTTATGGAGGCTCTCATAACCACAGATAACAGAAGGGAATAGTTAGTGGATGAATTGCATCGCATAAGATGTAACACTTTCCTGTGTTCGCCTTTAATTTTTAGCAATCTGTTAAACTGCAAAGACTGGTTGAGTCTCACAACAACATCATGGTCACTGTCTGCAGAAATAAGGAAGGTAACTTGTGCATACTTCTTTCCTTAACGCATTTCATTTCTGAAGCTACTTATATTGAATCTGAGAAGGTATAGTATCAGATTCCTTCCAGAGCAGTTGCCTCTGTTGTCTCTAAGCTTTTTTAACTACCATTTGCAGATTGGTTTAGTTTTACTCAGAAGTATGCTGTGACACATCAATCATTTTCATGGTTGTATGAGCACAGTCTTACAAAGAAAAAAAATTACCAAGAAAAACAATGTAATTTTTCTTAAAGTAGTGCTGGCGAAGTCAACCACATAACCATTTAATGGTTATGAGTCCACCTAATTGTTGCTTTCAAAGTCTGTTCATTGTCATGGTATTTGTAGAATTCAAAAAAAGGGACTCAAACTAAAAAATGTAGATCTAAACTTCTTCAGTCAGGTCAGTACACTGGAGCAATAAATGTTAGTTGATATAAGGTATTCTGCAATTTGAACTGACACCTAGACTTTTCTTGATAAGGGATATTGTATTCTTAAGTCCTACTTGCACTCCTTTTTTATCAGTTTTATAAATAAATAATGATATATTCAGCTTCCTTGTATTCTTACCCTTAACAGGGAGAAATATGTGAAGCACAAAGTTTTCATTGCATGTCACCTACAGGTCTCCAAGAGCTGGAATCACATCATCTTGTTCCTGGAGACATGATGGTTTTGAAGGAGGGCAAAGCCCTCTTGCCTTGTGATGCCATCTTGATCAGTGGGCAGTGCATTGTAAATGAAAGCATGCTGACAGGTACAGCTTGTTCCTTCCAGATTCACTATTAAAACATCATCATGGCTCTGTGGTTTCAGCAAGTGGCACAGAACACACAGCATAATCATATACCATCCTCATTGTGGCATAGCTCGTAGTTAGCCTAGAAGGGCATTCTTTGGGATGTTTGCTACAAAAAGGACTGAATAGTAGTTAGCCCCAGCTCATCTAAGTACCTGACGTGAAGCAACTTATTGGGAAGAGCAGTTCATTTTTTTTCTTTCTGGGGTGCAACATTTAGGAAGCGATCCTCTAACTAGAAAGGGAAGTGGAGCGAGTGGGACAGGAGAAGAAACAGTAGTTATGGAACAAAGCTGTTTCCACACAGAGCACAGAGTCCACTCAGTCTGTAGGGAGTTTTCTCATTCACTGAATATTTAACCTTAATGCTGCAATGTCTCTAACCAGCTGAAGTGTCTGTCCAGCTCTACATTCAGTTAATCTCCTTTTCATGTGATAGTAGTGGAGGAGACACCAAGTGGGTGAATTCATTGTAAAAAAAGGATTTTTGGAGCTGTTCATATTTCTCTTTCTCGTCTTTAAATTTGGTCTCAGTCTAAACTGAACTGAACTCGAATCAACCATTCTGAAATCTCATGTAAATGAGAAATTCCAGAAGCTCCTTTCATTTAGAAAGCCTCAGCGACCAGATATTCAGTGAAAGTACTTCTGCTGCTTTACCTGAGTGTACCTGCTCTGACATACACAGGATATTTATTGGCTCTCAAGCAAGAATCAGGTAATGCCACATTCAATCTGTCTGAGGTAATAGTGTAGTGACCTGCACACAAAGTTCAAGCTATGTGAACAACTTGTGGCTACCAATTGGAGTCCTACAATACCGCTTAAAGTCTCTGTTCAGGTTTCTGTATCTAATGCCATGGTTCAGAGTCCTTGGACTGTTTTCAGTTCTCAGACTTACAAGGAGCTGTTGTGCAAGAAGCTGCTGTACCAGTGCAAAGGGGAGTTTTTCTCTGGCAGAGTCTGTTCTTTTCTGCTAGGCTCAAACTCCTATTCACTCTGAAGATGTGATGATATCAATTTAACATCTCTCTAAACTGGTTTCTCTAGGAAGTACATTTACTTTCTGTCTAGATACTTTACTGTCAGCAGGCTAATTTTAAGGCATACTGCAGTTTTCCTCATCTGAGTTCATCTTTCCTAGGAGAAAGTATTCCAGTAACAAAGACCCAGTTACCCCAAGCTGATAACCTGAAGCCCTGGAGAATGCACTGTGCAGAGGATTACAAAAAACACATCCTCTTCTGTGGAACAGAGGTCATACAGACCAAGGGAGATGACAGAGGAGCAGTGAAAGCTGTGGTGCTGCAGACTGGTCAGTCAACACATCAGCTTGCTTTTTCTTTCATGCTTTTTCTTATTGCTTATTGATTTAGAGGTCTCCGGAGTCTGAATTAAATTTCTCTGGTGCACCTTACACTAAAGAAATTAATCAAAGTTCACAATCAGTATCCTGATCTGGACTAAACTATTATGCATTGTTTCAGTTTATTTGGCATACCTCTTAAAAAACCCACTAGCATATGATTACAAAGAAGAATCTGTCTTTGCTTCGACATGTTGAAAAAGTCCTGCTTAAGACAATTTTTTTTCTACATTCTGTATATTAGCTCACATACTGTAAAATGAAAGATCTTGGCCTTCTTTCATAAGTTATTTGAATTCTATTTCAAAGCCTTCTATTTTTTTCTTAGAGAACTTTTAAGAAGTGACTTCCCCATGTAATGATCTTAATTTATCTTTTCAGGTTTCAATACAGCCAAAGGAGATCTGGTGAGGTCCATTCTCTACCCTAAACCCGTGAACTTCAAATTGTACAGAGATGCCCTCCGGTTCCTGATGTGCCTCATAGCACTTGCAACCATTGGAATGATCTACACAGTGTGTGTATTTGCACTTAATGGGGTGAGTTACTAAATGCAAGAGAAATAGTCATACTCAGCTTCAAGAGACTTGAAACTTCAGTGGTTTCCTGTGCGCTTTTATATAAAAAGTATGATTTTAAAATTCTCCTTGCCTTAGTAGATGTGGCCATTTTGCAGTGAAATTATATTTGTGATACCACAAACTCTTAGATATTCAATTCTAAGGTGACAAAACCCACTGTGTTCCCATTTTCATTTCCCCAGAGTTCCTAGCATATCTGGTGTGAGCACTTTACAGATAATCGCACACCCCTTCAGCCACTTTTCTTCCTTCTGCTTCTTGCAGAGCCCCAAGCAATACAGATACAAACACAGATCCCCAAATTTTACTGATACTACAAAAAACTCCCTATTTTCTTCTGCCCCTTTTGTCATATCTTTGTATAGTTATCTGTGTGGTGGGGGAACCTTCACTTAGTTATTTCTAAGTAAGTATAGCTTTTGGGAAATAATTTTTGGAAAGCCAAGTATCAGTTGAGTCACTCACCCACATCTCCACTTACTTTTTCCAGAGTTCGTTAGGTTTATTAGGCATGAATTTGTTCTGTGGTAACTGCTTTGCCAAGTTTCCTTTTTTTTTTTATTTCCTGAACAACCCTCCTCCCTCTTTGTAATATGTGAAATGCATGCTGATGCTATCATGGTAACTGAAAATGGTATCAAAATGGAGCTTTCTGCGGTCTGAAATAATGTCAAAGAAGTGAGAATGGAAAACTGGTGAAAATTCAGCGTGTCAAAAACAGTATGGTTTATGGTCAAATCTCCAGGCTTAGAAGTAGTAATAACAGAACTCTAGCGATGGCTTTCAGATCCATCTGAACTGCAGACTGGCTTCAGTTTGCAGTGCCTCTGTCCTGGGACCCAATCTGAAATGCATTCAATCCTTTAGTAGTGACAATGACTGCCAAGAATAAGAATGCCAACATTCAGTGTACCTGTAGCCATCTTTACACCAACCTCTTAACTTTTTAATTAGAGATTACTTTTAGAAATGTAACTTTTATTTCTATGTATTTTCCTCCACATAAAAGTTATCCTGTTTAGCATTTTCCCATACGTCTAATCTGTCACCCTAATATGAAGCCCAGAGCTACATCTATGGGTAGTTGGATGAATGCCCACGGCAATGGCAGATTCTTTTGTGCTTCGTGATAGTGAGCTAGGCTCAACTGAAGGTGTAATTACCCAGCCTGGCATGTTTGAGCTCATTCATGTGCTTTGCAGGTTTGTTGGTACAGAGAAGGCTCTTTAGCAGTGGTGTAGTCTTAGGCCCTTTGGTTAAATCAAAGCAATTCATTTTTTAGGGACATGAATATGTAACATACCACAGGTAAAAAACAACAGCATGAAGCATCTACAGTGCAGAGGAGGAGAGATAAAGAGGGCTATTCTCAGATAATTGAAGCAGCACATCATCTTGCTGATAACTGCCTTTGGTTTTACATTAGGAGGAGGCAGGAGAAGTAGTGAAGAAAGCTTTGGATGTTATCACTATTGCTGTCCCACCAGCCCTACCAGCTGCCTTGACAACAGGAATCATTTACACCCAGAGGAGGCTGAAGAAAAAGGGCATCTTCTGCATCAGCCCACAAAGAATCAATATGTGTGGACAGCTGAACCTCATCTGCTTTGACAAAGTAACGCCTCTGTATTGGTCACTCCTGCACTTGCAATGGGAGCAATGCTAGGGGTGGGAGAATTTGGACACGTGATTTCCATTGTATTTTAGAAACACATGGACCAGTCTTTCATCCTTACATTTGCGTTGTCTGAATGTACATTGTTATACGTTGTTGGTTTTTTTTTTTTTTGAATCTAGGAAAGATCTGGTAGTACTTTCTCTCTGCAATGCACTGACATTTTCTAAACAGCAGCTTCTTAAAATATGTCTTACTTTTTATTCCTCGTGTAAAAGTATTGTGCAAAGTTAATTTAAATGTATATTCTAATGTAGACTGGCACCTTAACAGAAGATGGCCTGGATCTCTGGGGCTTGCTGCCCTCTGAAGGAAACTGGTAAGGTTCTTTGATGACTAATGGAATTTAAATTTGTGGGATAGAGACCAGACACTCCTCCAAGACGTACAAACAAATCTGAAAGACATGTTCATGTCAAAACCAATGAGAAGTTCCCCTTGTTTAGATATCTATTGATATTTCTGTATTGTTTGAAAAATGAGTTGGTTGCACACAGACAGGCAAGGAATTCTGCAGTAGCCATGCTAGGATAAATTTCAGAGTGGTGGGAGTGCTCTGACCATTGACAACAAGAAATTACTGTAACTCATGAGACCACTTTTCAGTTCCTACAGTGCCAATATTTCTGCCCATTTACATTTCCAGAAATGTGAATGCACAAAGATGTCCAGGCTTGTATCAGTTTCACAGTTTGAATCCTTGCACAATCCCCAAGTAACATATTTCATAATAATTTGATGTATATCCCAATGGACTATTAAATACATAGAATATACTTATTCTGAGTATGTGTATTCCATCCAGGGATGTGCACAAGAAATAGCTCCTGGGAGAGGACAAATCTACAGAAAAATGCTTGATGCCTGGCCACAGGATGAGACTTTAACAGTCTCCTTACATAGAATCATAAAGTTTGGAAAAGACCTCTAAGATCATCGAGCCCAACCATCCACCCACAAGAAATTTTGGCCATTAACCCATGTTTCTCAGTAGCATACCTCCACATTTCTTCAACACCTCCAGGAATGCTGACTCCACCACCTCCCTGGGCAGCCTGTGCCAGTGCATCACCACTCCCCAGGAGAATTTTTTCCTAACATCTAATTTGAACCTTTCCTGACGCTTCCACTCATCCTATTAACTTATGACATCTTTTTCTGTTACACACACGTGTTTGGTGTTTTCTGATAATAATTTTTATAGTTTCTTTTGTGTTAGCTTTCAGGATGTTCACAGGTTCCCTGCAGACCACAGCCTGCCTTGGAGCCCAGTGTTCAGCGCAATGGTGGTTTGTCATTCATTAGTTGTTCTGGAGGGCAAGATCCAAGGAGACCCACTGGATGTGAAAATGTTTGAGGCAACTAATTGGGTAAAATAAGATTTGTTGTTATGCAAATAATGATGTAGAGTTTTGGTATTTTCTTGCAAAGGAGAAACATCCCAAAGCCTTGCATGCAAACAGTCACCATCTAAACATAAGTAAAACAGCCAGAAGGGATACCACATTCTTAGGCTTTTAGAGAAATCCTCTTTCTGTCCAAAGCTTTCAGACTGGAGTACATTGAGAATTTAGATCATTTGACTGAGTGGTGGATATCATACAAACCCTACTGAGGTATCAACTCTGACTGTGGGTGCTGCCAGATGGCAAGAAGTCCTCGCTATAACTTGTATATAGATGTGGACTGGCACACAACTATTTCTGCCACTTTGAACTGGATACAAAACTTCAATGTTTGGTAGAGCTTTGTTATTCTGGAGATGTTTCGTATGGGCATAGGATTTCAAACCTAAGGATGACAGAAGGCCTCACAGGTGGGAAATACTACTACACTTGCAGAGTAATGAGAACAGAACAAAACTAGTAGATCTCAAAGCACTCTGCTTTCATTCCCTCGATGTCCTATCATGTACAGATACTGTCAATGGCCCTGCTTAGTATCTGATTAATTGAGGAAAATTGAGCATTTATGAGAAACTGAGAGACTGCAGTTCTGAGATAGATAAGAGAATGAGAACCAATAGTTATCTAGTGAAAGATACAGTCACAAGCTGCTGCTGGTACAAGACAAGATTCAGGGCCAGGTTAGCTAGTTACGTGGGTGACAACATCCATACTTAAAGCCTGTCTGTTTTGTATCTGCAAAATACATAAAATAGTCAAGTTTCAAGGAAAAAACTATCCAGTAATGACAGGAGTTAGAAAGTATTTTTTTTTTCCCCAGGGGCATCAATTCACCACTTCAGTCTCAGGCAGAAAAAATTACCTGAAAGAAGAATAATTGCATGCCCTTTGACACCATAAAATATCCTTATTCTCACAGTCACATTGTGTTGATTAAAAAAACTTGTGGAAAACTTCAAGAGTAGAAAACGATGCTTCCTACATTAAAAAACTTTTATTTGTTTGGTTTTCACTGATACTATATTTAGGAAAAAATGCTTTTGTGCATTTGAATGTATTGTGATGGACAAAGGATTAGTCTGGGAGATAACACAACCTATTTGCTGTGCAAGAGTACAGCAGTATCTTCATGAAGCTGATGAACAACTGAATTTGTTTCCCAAGAAAGCAGCGAGTTTTCTGCTACTGGAGTTTCTTAGTGTGAGGTCAAGAATGAATAAGATACCTCATTTTGAGGGAAGAAAATGCTCCAAGTGATCCACTGAGTTTCTTTCAGCTATACTGATGTTGTAACCTAAAGGACTTTTGTCTTTCAATACACAGGTGATAGATGATTCCAGTGGACACCAGACTGAAAGTCAAAGATCTACACATGCCACAGTTGTTAGACCTGGACCTAAAGCCAACTGTGTAAGCTATCTGCAAGATTCACATCTGTTAGTTAAACTGTTAGTGTTAAGTTTACCTCTTAGTAGAAAAATGTTTGATTGTTCTAGTCCAAGACAACTCTTCCACACTTCTTCTCACTTGGATTGCATGCAGGGAGATCATCATACTCTTTGTGATGAAAAATATTTGCCATAGGGAGCTTGCTGCTCACAACAGAAACAGGACACAAGCAGGGGGTTGCTAGATAGCACGTTGTCCAGCCCAAGAATTTACCTCCCCTGGTGGCTCCAGACTCAGTTCAGGATCAGCCAAGTGGTGATCACCTCTAGAGTGCTTGGGGCTGCAGGTGACTCCAGAAGCTGATGTCAGATCTCTGCTGGTGTGAAAGCTTTCAAAATGTCTTGCCAAGGAAAAACAGACTAGTATAAAATGTAGCAGTCTTGTTAAACAAATAGAACTGGTGAGTTCTTTCAGTAAATTGTGTCAAATAGCCTGCTGAAACTGTCAGAGAACTCTTCACATTGCTTGAATAAAACATTGCTGTACAAGTTTCATGAGTCTGTTCTGCCCCACTATGAAAAAAAATATATATATATATATATATCAGTGCATTATAAGTTGTTATCTTCTCAGCACAGCTCAGGGGACTCAACTGCTTTGGCTTGATCTTAAAACCTTTGCTGCAGTATCTAATACCTTCACTTCTCTCCTAGGCCTCTGTGGAAGGAATTACCATTTTACACCAGTTTCCATTTTCTTCAGCTTTGCAGAGAATGTCTGTCATTGCTCAGGAAATCGGTGGGGAAAAACACGTCTTCACAAAAGGTGCTCCAGAAATGGTAGCCGTGTTATGCAGAGCGGATACAGGTAACCAACATTTTAAATGCTTCCTAGAACCACATAGGTATAAATGACTTTGATAGTGCATTGTAGTGTACGGTCCTAATGAGATTTCTGAGTCTAAGCACTTTCATCTCAGCCTGAAAAGTTGATTGTGCTACCAGTCTAAGGCTAACCTTTCAGATAGCCCTTCTCAGCAAAGAAGCACTGCTTGCAGGCAGAAGTACCAATTATTGTACAAGGCATTCAGTTTCTACTAGAATTAGTATTCGAGTTATCTGCTATATACCAGAAAACATTTTCTCTTCAAGCTTTGAGTGGACAGCTGGAAGAGCACTGTTCCTTTATGATACACTAGAAGAAGGTAAATCTATGCAGAATAGTTAAGCTCCTCAATGGAGACTGACAGGAGAGTGGCAATGAATTAATTATTGAGCAAAATTCATTGTAGCAGCTCTCCTTATTGCCCAAGGCCTATTAGAACTCTAAGTGTATCTCTCCTCTAAGATATATGCTTTAGAGAAGGTTCCTAAGACCATCCCACTTCTATAAAACAAACAGCCTAATGCTATGAAGAGCTGTCTTTTCTTCTTTTGGACAGTCCCGCCGAACTTTGAAAGTAAGCTTCTGTTCTACACAGCACAAGGCTTTAGGGTGATTGGACTGGCATATAAATCTCTACAGTCGGGAAAGCAATCTACTGATCTAACGAGGTAAGCAACAAACTACTTCTTATCAGCCACATCCAGCCATAAGCCTCACACTATATCATTACCCCAAGGCCTTCATCAAGGCCAGGGTTGTAGCATAGATGAGCTTGCTAGATGCAGGCTAAAGAGAATCAGTTTAGATCTGGATATGGGTCTGAGAGTGGGTAGAGTAGGTATTGCTACCCAATACCTGTACCAATACCTATAATCTTTGTGTGTTTCTTAGCAATGGGTATATATGATTCAACTCTATCACAACCTGCAGCTTAGTACCACCCCTACCTCAGCCCATAATTTCTACCACTCTCCATGCATATTTGACCGAAATCCTAGATAAATATGTTTGCTTTTAAGTTCTTTTCTGTCATGGCTCCTCAGTTAAGCAAAGGCAGCAGATGATCCCCATTACACTACCTATTCTCTAACTCAGAGAAAGTCAGAAGATTATCTTCTCCTGTAATCTTGGTCTGTGCCTTCTTTAGCATTATAGCTTTAGTTTCCTTTAACTTCTCATGGAAATAGTTTTTCCACAAATCTCACTAAAGAATGCCCACATGAGTCCATAGGCTCTTAGAAATACCCCTCTTGTTCTTGCCTGTGATACTCCTGAAACATCACTTGTGAAACGGTTGCAGTTACTTTGTACATTTGTTGTCCTCTGTTTACTATCCACAGGTCCTAATTCAGATGGAGTTCACTTGCTCTTTCACAGAGTTTTTTACTCTGCTGAGAGGACTCCATGGATATGGAGGCAAAGACCAAATAGTTGTTTATCTTCTTGTCACAAGCATCATAACAGACTTATCCAACCCAGCAGGCAAACACATACAGTATGGCCCAGATTTTGTAATTGTGTGTGCAGTTATATTTGGGTGAAGTGTACACCGCCAGGAAAGAAAAAAGACAAGTGGAGGTCAAACGCAATGGTCCTGCTGTGAAAGCAGCGACTATTCAGGACCACCTGACTCAGCTACTCCGAGTAGTTACTTCGACTGCCTTGCAAGTGTCTGGCATCACCTACTTACTACAGTGGTTAAAATAAGCATTAAAAAAAAAAAAAAAAAAAAAAAAAAAACAGCTTTCAAACTCTTCAGAATCAACCTGGCTCCCTGGGGGACCTCTATTTCATGCCACTGTTTACCTAATTCTGTTCTCAACTGCATGTGTTCAGCTGTAAAAATGGCAATAGCACAGGTGTAAAGAATAGGAAAGAACAGAGTTGGAGAACACCTGTACACAAATAGAAAGCAATCCAACTTATCCTTCAGGCTTGATTTTTGTATGTGGAGAAGATAGCTCCAAAATGGTGGGCTTTTTCTTTGGTAATAATTAAGCAAATGTGATCTGAAAGCTGCCTATGTACTGAACTGTTTCTTCAGAAAAAGGGAAGAATAAAAGGGTAGAAGACAAACTAAAGATCCTCCATATTCAACTGACACCTCTTGCTGCTGGTGGAATGCAATCCCAGATGGTCTTGAAATAGCACCTCAAAAACCAGAAAGCCTTAGACTGTTAAAAGCTAACAAGTTATTTACATCCTTTGAATTAGATTGCATGATTAACACTAACAAATGGCTACCAGCAAATTCAGTGTAAAAGCAAGGTAAGGGGGGAAAAAAGGAATTAAATTTTTCCATCTGGTCTTCACTTAAGGGAGGAAGTGGAATCTGATCTGACATTCCTGGGTCTGCTGATAATGGAGAATCGACTGAAGAGAGATACAAAGCCTGTTCTGGAAGAGCTCAGTGCTGCCCACATCAGGAGTGTTATGGTTACAGGTATCAAAATGGGATGGATTGTTTTGACAGCTGATAGTGCAGACAGGGAATTCAACCACGTGTGAGCGAGTGAGCAGTCTGCTGCTTTGTCACCAGCATTAGTAAGAAGGCACAGGCATTTGGGTCCTTCAGACAATTAGAACCAAGAAGCACCTGTGCTGTAACAGTCACTTTATTTGAACCATACAGGCTTATGTCTCTAACAATTTCACCAGGTTATGTCAGATACCTAACAGTCTGTCCCACTTGTACCAAAGCAGAGAGCCTTATGGTTCCTCTGATGCTTTCTGGTGAGCTCATTTGTTCTCTCTACTAAGCTTATCAGGTGACATGCATGAAGGCATGTCAAGATGAGCCAAAATGGAACACTGATGCTAGAACAAATCACTGAGCCATGTGATATCTGCTAATTCATGCCTACAGATCCCTATTTATCACTTTTTTCCCCCTTGAAGGGTTGGTTTGGATTTGGAAAGGATAAATCTCAGTTTTAAGTTGGTCTAAACACATTTTTCTGGAAATCACACAGATCTTCCTGGGTTTCACCCTTTCCCATATCAAACTCACATCCAAGCCATCTAAGGGCAATTACTGTGAAGCAGTGATACTCACTGCATTTCTTCCCTACCATGTAAACACAGAAACTAGGAGCACACTCTGTGGTTATGTTTCTTCAAGCTTAAGCCAGGTTAAATAAGTATCTATTGAGACAGACCTCACCTGCAAAGTTCTCATCTTTATCTAAAGCCGCCTTATGCACGGATACTGCAATCTTATTAACACCTGTGGATACATTTGAAAATTTGGAATTCAAGAAAGGGTTAATGTTTCCTCCACAAACAATTCCTCACTGCAAATAACACTTGCATTTTTTTCTAGGTGATAACATTCAGACAGCTGTAACTGTTGCAAAGAACGCTGGGATGATTTCTCCAACAAACAGAGTTATTCTTGTGGAAGCAAACAAAGTACCTGGATCTTTTTCAGCATCTGTAACATGGAAACCACTAGAAGAAAATAAAACTGAAGATTACGGAAGCCTGGTGAGAGTAAAATAAGTGATGCAGCAGGAAAACAAACAATGTTGGAATGCTTGTGATAATGTAAAGTACTGTCCTACAGCTTCCTTCCTAATATATTATCTTGTGAATGATATTTTGGTTAATTACTTGGATTAGGTTTGAGAACAGCTTCACATTGTAACCCATAGAAGATTTGCCTATAGCCTCATGCTTAGCTGATGCTATTTTCAAGCATGTTTCCCTGCAAAGTAAGTTTGATAGCCTAGCATATTATGCAGATTTAAAATCTGTGTGATTGCACTGAATGAACAAACCCTGTTTGAATAGGTAGAGTTAGTACTTCCCCATACATACAAAACTAAAGCATGGACTAATGCAGGTCTCCAAGGGCCTTCACAAATGTCCTCTCTGTGGATGTCATTTTCTTTGTCTGTAAAAGCTTCTGAGGTCGTGGAAACAGCACTTGTTCTGGTGTTGTTTTTTTTTTTTTTTTTTCCTTCTTCTCCCCTTCAGGACAGTGACAGTCAGACTGGAAGAATTAGGTTGGCAGCAGAATCAGACCAGTTTCATTTTGCCATGAGTGGGAAATCTTACCAAATTGTAGCACAACATTTCAGCCACTTGCTTCCAAAGGTAAGATATAGATTATTTAGTTGGAGTAGGCTTGCAGTCAGTAGATTCAGATTGTCCTGATGTAATTAGCTAAAGAGATCTGCACTAAGAATTCCTTGGGAAAAACCTCTAATGCTGAAATACTCATGGGCTAGGTAAGTCTCTGACGCAATTGTGGGGTGGAAGGATCTGAAAGGCTCTGATTTTTTCCAGCATGAGAGAGCAGAACAGTCTCATAGCATGTGAGAACATGACTTAAGACATTTGCAACCACATGACTGGTTCTTTGCACAGCCCTACTCCTCTCATGTTTTGAGGAACAGGTGAAAATGTGGTATTACACAGCATGAGATTAGAAATAATTTATCTGTTTTATGAAAAAGATAATCATATTAATTCTCTTCTGGTAAAGCGCTCCTTAGTAATAGATTGTAATGCTATAATGTATGGAAAGTACAACAATAATAGAGAGGTGACAAAGTCTTCAGCAGTAGCAAATAAAAGGAACCCAAATGCAGCAGATGTGAATGCAGAAACAAAGGAAAAAAAGGAAAAAAAAGCTGCTTACCTTTGAAAGGTCACAGACAGGCAGGGATCTCCAGAAGATCCCCTGGCCTCCACTGCCAGCCCTTAAATGAGGTCTGAAAAGGGGTGCATCCCAGCTTCACCCCTTCCGTCACTCAGGTACACTGCATGCACCTGAGCCCCTTTGGGTTGGCCCTGCCTTCCCACCAGCTGCTCAATCACTGGTTCAGGCCGTGACTCAGCATTTCTGCTACATACTTGTTCATCTTACAAACAACACACTGGACTTTATGTCCTAATTATGATCTCAATTTTTTCAAAATTAATACACCTTTTATGTTTTATTCTCAGTCTTACCTGCCTTGGGGTCTAGCACCAGCTGTTTGGAAATGTGACTTCTGGGTTGTTTCTATTCCAGATTATCACTGAAATCACTGTGACTGTTATACCAACTGCTTAAAACATCCCTTTCTTTTTTTTTTCTCCTGACAGCTCCTGCTAAATGCAACAGTTTTTGCCAGAATGTCTCCCAGTCAGAAATCTAGCCTTGTAGAGGAGTTTCAAAAGCTGGAGTAAGTTCTTGTAAGCACCGAGTAATGAAGTGTCTGAAGAATTTCCAAACTTCAGAAGAGTCTAATAAAAGTTAGCTTTTCTCTAATGTATTGTTCCCTAAAAGTGCACAAAACTAAAGCTTCTACAGAAGTACAGCCAGACAATTAAGTTCCACAAGCCTGTTGAAGAAGAGACACTGAGATTTATGTTGTTTTTACAACCCATCAGAGACCTAACAGTCTCATAATTCTGAGTTTTCTTTGTTAAGTCCATTCTTCATTCTTCTTGTTCTGTGTCTGAAGCAGGAGCACCTGTCTATCCAAGAATTTTTGAAATGCCTCCAAGCAATGCAGCTTTTCTGTTGCTAAATCAAGTCTTTTTACTGCATTTGATAAATTAGAAGACCCATCAGGGCTATCTGCATTTTTACAACCTTGTGCTAACAGTCTTTGAGGTGCAGATGTGTATATCCTTGAGTCCCAAGTATCTCATTGCCTATTATTTAAGTGATTACAAGGGCTTGACAAGATTCCCACCTCAATTACCTGGTCCCAGGCCTTGCCCTAGAGCAAGGTAATTCTTAAGCTGTTCCAGCTTGGTATGAGCACTATCTGGTTTCCCTGGAGCACCTTCAGTGCCTCACAGTGAGAACTTTTCATGAGCTGGAATCTAAGTGTCAGCAACTGAAGACAAAAGTGATTTGGCTCTTGAAGCACTAGGCTGTTTTGTATAGATGATGCTGTTATAAGGACTTACATTTAGGTTTAACAGGCCTTGGCTCATCCTTTCACCATCAGGTCAGGGAACTGTCCCCAGATAGCCTGTTAAGCCTACACTTTCCCTCCTCCAGCTGTCCTTGTCACTCTCTGTCTGCCCCGGAGACACTGGAAGGTAACTCACTGCCTCCCAGGAGATACTGGGAGGTCTGGACCACAAAGCAGAACTCCTAATGATATCTGTTCCCTGTGAACATGAGGTACCCGTGTGTGCAATCCATCGTTTCTGAGCTAGGCCATCACCATTAACCCCTTCCTCTGTCATAACCAACCTTACTACACTCAGAGTGGAAAACTGAGTCAATTGTAATGAACATAAATCTACATTCAGTCTGTCACAGCAAAAAGACTTTACTGGTGAGACATCTGAGGTTCAAGCCTAGGGACCTGCATATTCTAGGATCTTGGGCTTGTATTTCAGTCTTTCAGCTTTCGAAATGGGCTTTTAAAAAAAGTTGGCATGACTTACAGAAATAACTTGCATAGGGGAGACTCTGCTTCCCTCTTTTTTATAGGTCTCATTTTCCCCAGCCCTTAACTGTAGGTCACTTTATTTTTTAGTTACTTTGTGGGCATGTGTGGAGATGGAGCCAATGACTGTGGGGTAAGTAAGTGAGAATTCCTTATAATTTATTTATTCAAAAACAAATGCATTGGCAGTAGATTCTCACTAACTGAGCACATGCTGGAGATGGGAGTGCTGCCATCTCAGCAGTGAAGCAGTTGCTTGCACTTAAACAAAGTTCCCAGGGTTTTCCCAGGAGAAGTGGAGAACCTATACATCTACAAAAATTGTGACTCCAAAGAAGCACTGATAAAGGAGGCACTGCTAATCCTGCCTTCTGCAGCTGGGGTTGATGGCTTTAGGGTCTGTAGGAAATAGTCTTTCTTATGCTGTCATCCCCTTACTGCTTTGGACCTGTTGCTCCAAATTGAAATGAAGAAAATTTTTGGGTGGAGCACACACAGGAAGTGAGGAGGGACTGCTGCTTTTCACAGAACACATGCTGTAATGGGGGCTCATTTCTTGGCTGATGGATCACTTCTTGGGTTTTCCTGGCTTGTGAGTGCTGAAGAGCAGTATGCTTTTTCAGGCTTTGAAAGTGGCACATGCAGGGATATCATTGTCAGAGCAGGAGGCGTCGGTGGCTTCACCTTTCACATCTCAAACCCCCAGCATAGCGTGTGTGCCAGAGCTCATCAGGTAAGCATGGATTTTTGTTTGCTGTTACGTGAAGGAAATATTCCCCACTGCTCTCAAATATTAGTGTTTGTTGTTTCCACCGAGCCAGAATGCACATACATGGAGAAAAATAAATGTGACATTGAAATCACCATATGCCCAGTTCATGTCTTAAACTCCTTTAAGATACAGACAGATATATTTCCCTTCAAACCACAGGAGGAAGGCAACTGCAGCTGAGCAGAAGAAAAGAATGGTAGAGATTTCTGTCCTTGTGGCAAATGCTTTATTTTACAACTGCATTTTGAGAGAACTGGCAACAAGAGGAAACCATCACCTAATTGCTGTCCTTTATTCACATCTTCATGCAGGGAAGGCCGTGCTGCCCTGGTCACTTCCTTCTGCATGTTCAAGTACATGGCTCTATATAGCACCATTCAGTACCTTGGCGTTCTCCTACTCTACTGGGTACGTCTTGGGAATATGGACCTTGTTTGATAGAACTGGATGAGCTACTCTCCTTTGTAGGAGAAACATAGCATAAGAACCACAAACCAACCAACCAACCAAAAAAAAACACCCCAGGATATGGAAGTTCATGTGAGCCGATGTGATCATTTAGTCCTGTACTCTCATCTGGAAAACCAGAAAGATTATTCCCATTAACTCCAGCCAATGGGCTCAGGATCCACACTGAGCAAAAACAAGAATGAGATATTGAACAGTATTTCAGATATGGGAGAATCTGGCATAAGCATATGCTTGTGCAATTTATTCAGCTTTTAAAGCATAAATTAGCTTGACAGTAAGCAAAATCTCCTAGAGTGCCTTAAACCACTTTTACATGGCTTCTTCCCAACTAGAGAGGAGGGCTTTACATTCAGAAATCACCCAGCACTGAGAAAGGACACATCTCTTCAGATAGAATTTTTTTTTATTGCATTGAGTGAACTGGAAGCATCATTAGTTCAAACAATGCACAAAAGGAGAGCATTCACTGCGGGCCCAGTAGTGACGAATCTATTGGCAGTGCTGGATTGTGTGGTCCCTTTATCTGCTGAGTAGCGTATTCTTGGAATTTCAGAACAAGCAGCTGAGAATTAGCTCCCCCTCAAAAAAACAACACTAATCTTTCTGGAGGTGATATAAACAAGCCCACAGCAAATGTCTGATTTGTGATGTTTTCTTTTTTCTGTTCCTCTTTTCAGCAACTAAACTCCTTTGGGAATTACCAATTTTTGTTTCAAGATCTGGCTATTACCACTGTAATTGGTATGACAAGTAAGTCAATTAGTCATCCTCTGTTTCAGGAGGATGCATTTCATGTGTTTTTCACCTCCTTGGAAACATGTAGTCCTAAGTACAGAAAGAAAGAGATCGCGTAGAGAACTGGATATTTAGATTATTAGAGAAGACATCTTGTTAGAGAAGAGAAAGCTCTGAAATAAGATGGTTGTTTCTTAGTGCTGTAACTGCTAAGCACATAGGTGGTTGATAATTGGGATGTTATCTCTACAGGGAGAAAAAGCAAACTGACCTAATGAAGTGAAAGGTTTATTAAGGCTTTTTCCTGCTGTTCTGGGAAGGCAGATCCAGAAGGGATCCACTGCATGGAGTCCAGCTCACATTTGAATATATGTAGGCAGGAGAGGCAATGTGCAAATGACAAGAAAACAAATGAAGAATGTCAGACACTACAGAGCAGGATATTGTGGGCCAAGAATGAGAGAGGAAACCACTGATGGAGGAGAAAAAGAAGGGATGTTGAGAAAGAGCAAATGCAGAGAGAGGCTTAGAAGTAGAAATGTGCAGGAGCACAAAAATCCTGTATTGAACGCACGTGACTGTCTTCCATCCCTACTGGAACAGACAACTCGAAAAGATCTCGATTAATTCAAGCCTAAAATTGTCACACCAGAAAGCTACCTTGTTTTAAATACCATATTTGGCAACACCACATTGAGGCTTACTCAAAATCTGAATAACTTTCTGGAACAACAGAGGGAAACTTGTTGGAAGGACCTGTGCAATCTTCTGTCTCCCCAGGTAATTGGGAACTGGGTGCTTACTGCAGCAGGAAACACAGAACACAGGCAACAAAACATCCCAAGACATAGGTACCAGCTGACTGAAAGAAAACAGGAGAGCTTGAGTATATCTTTATATTCTTGGGTCTGACAGTAGCAAAATAAAAATCTAAAATTTGTTTTCCGACAATGTCTCAGGATAGTCAAATGCTATTAATTAACATATTCTGTAGCCAATAAGCTTTTGTAGGAAAATAACACTGTATTTTGTGCTTGATATAATAATTGAAAGTATTAGAATGAACATTACAAATGGTAGAAATGCTGCCATTGATAACAGTCTGTACGTAATAGGCAGCACACTGCTGCTATTTTGGACACAGTAGTAAATATTTCTGTCATGTTTCAGTGAGTTTCACAGAAGCCTACCCAAAGCTGGTTCCCTACAGGCCTCCTAGCCAACTCATCTCACCTCCCTTGCTGCTCTCCGTCATACTTAACATCCTCTTCAGCCTCGGCATGCAGATTTTTGGATTTCTAATGGTCCAGAAGCAGCCCTGGTATTCCAAGACTGATATACACAGGTAGGCCTCCCTCCTGGGACTCCAGGTGACACACGGCACACCTAATGAGACAGCTTTATCTGAAATGACTGCTTGAGTACAGCATGGATGAGCAGCTGCAGATAGACCCTGTACTTCCCCACCAGCTGCTTACAGTAAGCAGTGCTGCCTGCAGGTCCCAAACCATTCCAACAACGCTCTTTTGCAGTGCCTGCCTCTCAGTGAACAGCCACATGGAGAATTCTTCCTCTGCCTCCAGCCTGGTCCTCCATGGCATGAGAGATGGAAACCCTACAGAAGTAGACAATGGCTACAAGAGCTATGAAAACACCACAGTGTGGCTGCTAAGTACCATCAACTGCCTCATCATAGCACTGGTGTTTTCCAAGGGAAGGCCTTTTAGGCAACCTATCTACACCAACTGTAAGTGTGGGGAGAGGGGAAGGGATTTGTGAGTCAGTCAGCTCCAGATATCAGTTCACTCAGGAAAACTTAAAACTTGACTGAAATGATGCAGTGATGCCAGCCAATAAAGCAGGAGCTCACTATTTGATTCGTAAATGACTAAAGACCAGCTTTTCATGGTCACAGAATGGCAGAATCATTAAGTTTGGAAAGACCACCAAGATCATTCAGTCCAACCATCAGCCTGTGCCTGCTCTAAACCACGTCACTCAGTGTGACATCTACCTTTCTCTTGACACCTCCAGGGATGGTGACTCTGTCACCTCCCTGGGCAGCCCGTGCCAAATGTTTCTTTCTGAAGTTTAATCCCAGTGGCATCCTGTGGTGTGCCATTCTCTGGGCTGGGCCCACATTTTGTGCTGCTAAAAAATGACAGTAGACTGACTTCGGTTTGAGACTCACTAGAAGGATGTCTGCCGTTTCAGGCTTCTGAGGTCAGCTCAAATGATCAAAATACTCTTCTGACATTTTAAGATCGATGGCTTCAAGGCTCATCCCAGCCTCTTATGTATCAGTTTGACTAAGTAAAACTTTTGCTGGAATGTCCTTGTTCTGTCATGGACTTTAAAAATTTTTTTGTGTGTGTGTGCGCATGTCTATTTGAAACAAGAAATGACAGATCCTGAAACAAGAAATGATGAATTCAATCTTCTGTAGTAAAGGGAAGCAGATGAGTGCCCTCACAGCTGTGGTTTTATTTCCTTGTTACTACAGATGTGTTCATACTCGTGCTTGTAGGGCAACTGGGTGTTTGCCTCTTTCTGGTGTTTGCTGATATTGATGATCTCTACTCTAAGATGGATGTGAGTATTGTTCCATTGTGAATTTTCCTCCCATAGATGGTCCCATTATAAGTGCACTAGTAGTGATTTTAACAAAAGGCACAGATTTTTGCAGGGATGTTTGACATCTCTGAAGACCAACTGGCTGCTAAGGCAATAGATGATCTATCATGATAATATTACCAGCAGGGCTTGGCTGATTTTGTCTGGCAGAATGCAACCTGAGGGTAACCTTGTACAAATTCATCCTAAGAGAAATATAAGGGAAGGATAAGATCTGCATCAGCTGTAGGACAAAGGTGTCAGTTTGTTAAGCCTGGAAGTAATAAGGAAGATGTTAATATTCTCCACTGTGACTGTCACACAGCTTTGTAGAAGGAGGAATAAACAGCAAAAGAAATGCACAGCTATTTTTCTCCAGTACATTTGTGATCAGAATGGATCACAATTTTGGATAGCAAATACTGAATGTGATACTGCTTTCAGTCCTATATCCTTGTATGAAAGTTAGCAAGTGGCTTCGGAATTCTGAAACAGAAGCTGAGATGAGAGGCACGCAGCTGGATTTTGAATGTAGCTGGGCTGCTTGGCAGCTGCCTCAATGCACAGCAGAATCCAGAGCAGAGGCTGAGCAGGCAGACCCAGTTAAAGAGCCTGCCACGAGATGGCACTTTAAAGCAGCAAGTCTTAGCCCTGCGGTGGACTGTAGCGGCACAGGACAGCGTCAGCAGCGCAGCTATGCGGGGCTGAAATGCCTTTGGGGAGAACTGCGGAAACCCGGTTTGTCTGAAGGGAACGCACTGGGTTTGCTGAGAAGGCAAAAGAAAGGAGTGGCAATTAGAAGCTGCAATAACCTAGCTCCAGAGCAATTGCTGATCTGAGCGTTGATCAGAGCTGCATCTCCAAAATAAATTGAGCTATAGCCAGAAACCCAGCTCTCAGACATCAGAACTGAGTCTGGACTTTGAAATACCCAGAATTATTTCTGATATTAGGAAGAGAGGAAGCATTTAGACCTCTTGCCGCAGTTCTGGTTTCTCTGCTGGGTCATGTGTTTAAATGCTTCTTTATCAATAATTCCTCAGGATAAGTGGCAGTATTGGTTTGTCAGCAGCGTACAGCCAGTGTGGGATTCTGGCTTTTGACGACACCAGCTCCAATGCATGTCAGTATGTGCACACACTGCTTACTGCCTCTGCTTTCCTCCCAGCTGGTTTGCACCCCCACCACATGGCGGATCTCCATGGTGATGATGCTGGCAGTCACACTGGCTGTGTCCTTTCTTGTTGAGGTGAGTGTACTGCACTGAATGAACCTGTTGACACTATCTAGAGAGACAAAGAGTCAGCTCTCACCCTTTTTCCATCCTTCTCGGTCCATTTTAGGAACGACCTGTCAAATAGAAACCATTGCTGCTACTTTACACTTCCTTTTTGTTTTCAGATTCTCACATCCAAATGGTTGGATGTGAGGAATGCCAGGTCTAACTGTCTTTCCTTTCCTCTGGTTAATGAGGTGTTTCAAACCCTGCCCCGCTGGAGAAAGATGAGAAGGCTTTAGTAGAGCTCTGCAAGAGATACTAAGAGAAGTCCTCAGTAAAAGACTGTCTAAGGAGTGGATGAGCAGGAGAGAATAGGAGATCTGTGCGTCTACTTCTTGCTGTGTGTGTATGGGTACCCACATTACCTATGGGTAAAGAGGAAAAGCTGCTGTTTGAATCCTCCAGAATTTCCCTTTTGCTCTTGCTTTTACAGGAAGCCATCATTGAGAACAGAGCCCTGTGGCTGCTGCTGAAGAGGACTTTTCAGTACCACTCCAAGAGCCATTACAAGAGGCTTCAGCAGGTGTTAGAACAGGACGCAGCCTGGCCACCTCTGAATGAAACCTTTTTCCCAGATTCTGTGGCAGTATCAGTAGAGGAAGATATGGGAGGCCATAGCAATCCAACATTTGACAGCAACGAGGATGCACTATGAAGAAGAATGCAGTGGAAAGATGTTAAAGATAGTCCTTCTACAGCCAACTGCAACTATCTCAGAGACATAAAAACTAAAGAAGGACTGACCCATCACTACCCCCCATTCTACTCTTAACTGGATCTGGCTCATTTTCCAGCTAACCAGAAGCAGAAAAGCTGGCTGCAGTAGCAGAATTCTGTAATGCTGTTTTTCCTCTCCTCTCAACGAGGTAGAAATAGCTGACAGCTGCAAATGGAGCAGCCTGGTGAAAGCTCACAAATGGTTGAGATGCCATTGCTGCATCCTTTTGAGCTGCATTGTGAGTTCCAGGGATGCTTCACTCATTGTGAAGAATTTCTTCTCAAGTACATGAATGCAACACACTGAGTATTTCTGCTAAGTTCATCTACTCAAGAAAGCAGCTTTGATGAGCATGTGTTTTCTTACTCTTATTTTGATGCTAGGCTGACTTTCTGCTCACCATGTTTTGCAAACCTGCCCACGGGTGGGTACAGCAAAACAGTATGGCTTCAGACCAAGGGGAACACTTAGTCCTTTGGGAAAGGTGTGTGTGGGTGTTGTCCCCTCTGAACTGAGTGCACAATTTGTTATTTAAAAGAAGTAGCTTGCCCATGCATTTCCTGGGTAGGGCTGAGGAATGCTTTCTGAGAACCTCAGCATTGGAGACTGTGCGTTCCTAAAATTCAATGCTAAACCACTCTTGCACTGACACAGAAATCCAGAGATTGAGGCAGGCTAGGAGTCATAGTAAAGAATCCTTTGGTCTTTCAGAGTACAAAGCAGCTCTGGAAAACCAAAAGCAGTCACTGGAGACTGCATTGTTTTGATTCAACATGTCTGTATCAGAACTGTCTTTGAAAAGAGATTAGCTTGAATAAAAAAATAACTATTTTTCTAAAAAGAATCACTTATTTGGATTAAAGCATTCTTCCCCCCCATTTTAGATAACTTCAACACAAGCATTAAATACCTTCCCATCTATTGCAATTTAGGTGACAGTACCAGACAACACCCAAACTGGAAATAGTCCACATCTGTTCATGAATCTGTCTCTGAAGTTAAGATGAATTCCCAGTTTGCAGCAATATCCATTGTTAAATGGTGAAGGTGAGAGGTTTTATCTCTTGCCCTATGCAATGCATGCAGCTTCAGAAGAAACCATGAGAGTAGGTTAGCGGTGTTATTCCTGCCATCCTCTCTTTGGGATGCAGTAACAATTTCCTTGGAGACCAAATTGACTGTCCCATTTACAAGCTCCTGCACACAAGAAATGTTGCCGCATAGAACAAACTGGCAGCTGCAGTAGTTTGCAGACTAGGCATATAATTTATGTTTATGTCACAATTGGGAATGGCATAGAAGCGTCAGCTCTTTGTAAATGTGTGGTTCTTGTAGCGTTGACAGGATAAAGACCTACTTGCCTACTAAGACTGAAAGACAGCTTTACCTGCAGGAAGAGAGAATAAAGATGCTAGGTGGTATTTAACCAATGCTACTCATTCAGATGCCAATCATTTGCTCCATCTCCCTTTACAAGTCCAGTGTCTCCAGCCATAGTGGGTGTAAAACACCAGAAATATCAATGCAATGGTATGGTAATAGAGGAGGTGTAACAACAAAGGGACTAGCACAATGGAAAGGTGTTGCAAAGAAAAAGTGCTCACCTGTCTCTGAAGCTCTAGGCTCACAAGGAAAACTCCACAAGGGAGGAATCTCCAATCAGAGATCCTTTCACAGCAGCAGTCAGCCCTTAAATGAGGTCTAAGAGAGGTGCAGCCAGGCTCCACCCCTTCTGGTGTCACAGGTGAATTGCCTTCACCTGTGCTCCCAGGGCTGACCAGGTCCTTTCACCAGGCACTCAATCAGTGGTTCAGGCTGGGACTCGACAGTTATCATAAAGTGGGGGTGTGTTTTATCATCTCTCCTCACTCATGTCAGTCACAGATCAGCAGTGCTGCACTGAACTGGTTATGCAGTGTAACTCTGTGGCCATCAGGAGGCAGGAGAGGTGCTGCAAACATCATCTCTGCAGAGCGGTCATAAGCACACATCCAAGACCCCATGTTGTGTATCCTCACCTCTGGTGGGACATCAGAGTTCACCCCCAACATCTTACTGATAGGGCAGTCCCCTCAGACTTGGAATGGGGTGATATTTAGGATCATGCTGAGGAATAAGTTTTCAATTTTGCTTTTTGAGATGCTCATTAATTTGGAAGAACCTTATCCTTCTGGGTACCAGGTTGTCACGAGCAGTAACAAGCAGCTTCTGCTTTCACAGTCTGTCTGTCAGATATGGGCCATGTGCTTTTTGTCCATACTTATATGTCTGTGCATAGAAGAGAGGCAGGTACAATCTAGGTGCTCAGTTCTGCCTATTTGCTGCTTAGCTTTCCCAGGCTGTTACACTGACAGAACAGTTGAGAAACAGAGACAAACCTTACCCATTTAATGAGAAACATTTTTTCAGGGGATATGAAATGAGTGTTTTGCAAGTTCCAAGGCTGCATAAAGGCAGACACAGCCTGGCAGACCTGGATGAGCCTTCCACAGCCCTTGTTGGCAGCCCTAGCTATCCAAACAGAGCTCAAATCCCCCTGAGGCAACTGAAGATCTGGGCTCACTTTCTCCTTTTATGACTGGCAGTGGACACCGGTTGGATGGACACCAGTGATCTTTGCCTGCAGAAATGTCCATCCCAGTTAGCACAGTGAAATCAAAGGGGCAGGCTGCCTGCAGCGCTGGCAGTGTGCTGAGCTGTACAAGCCATTCTTAACAGCTAAGTTCAAAATTGGATTTTTCTTTGAAACACAATTGTCCTAGATAATGAGAAAAGGAAATTGCATTATTTTTGTCCTTCTCCTTTATTTGTTACTTGTTTACTTTGATACAGTCATCACAGTTTCTGTCTACTGCTCAGCACGCCTGCTTGGCAGTGCACGGGAGCAAAGGAGGAACAAAGCTCATTCTAAAAGATGCAGATCTTTTGCTTCTTTGGGGACAGAGAGTGCTATTTTACTTCTGTCTGCACAGTACCTGCTTTTTCTTTATAATGCAACTGAGCCTTTTGGCATGGCTACAGCTTCACATTTCTGTATAGTTGAGTGGACACCTGGCTCTCATGCAAGAACAGAGTTTTATTGAGTGCACAAATAAGAAAAAGAAGTTGGATTGCCCTGCAGAAGGGCCTACTTCTCCGCTGCAGCCCACAAAAGCTGGAGACACAGCCTTCTGGTTTGACCTGTTGGTTAGGAAGGCAGCAAGAGCCTCTTGGCATAACTTCCCACATAGAATGAAGGCAACTGCGATGCATCTCAGGGAGTGCTGGCAAAGCAGAATTCTGATCAAACATATCCATGTGAAATGGAGAGTACCAGCAGGGCACCATCCTGCCCCAGCTCAGAAGGGCTCCCAGACTTGCCCTTTGGTTTTAGGGTTCACAAGTGCATTTTTGCAGGGTTCTACTTTCACCTGTGTAGAGTTACTGCAGAAATTGAAGGAGTTGGTGGGGCCCTGACATGGTTGTTTTGCTTGTCTCCCTGCTCTGAGACAAGATCCACCTACCCTGAGATCATCCTTGGCAATTTTTGTCCTTTTCCTTAAAGCAGGTGCAAGATTTTCCTCTGCTCTAGGTAGCATTTAAATACTCTTTAAGTTAGAAAATCTTCCTGAATATCTAACCTAGCTCCAAGAATCTAATTGTTTAATCTAACTAGAAATGTAAGTTTTCTCCCTGATCTCTAACAAAAGTAAGAGAAAAAAAGAGTAGATGACTATCTTGTTTTACAGGAGATACAGTATGCCAGTTCAGCCTTTTCTTTCATCATTCAAACAAACTCAGTTACTCAACACTGCCTCATGGGTCACGTTTTCCAAACATTCATTCTTGTTACCATTTGGACCCTTTCCATTTAGCTCACACCTTCATAGAGCCTGACCTCCCAGTGAGGCCTTGCTAGAAGCAAGTGGGGTGGAATAATGTCCTGTCTCATGTATCGCAGCAGCCTCCTGTAACCATGACTCAACAACAGTCACATTTCTGGCAAGGATAGACAACTGTGGTGACCTGCCTCTCCTTCTCCGGCACACACCTGCACCACCTCCCCTGTTTTTTGCATTTTTTCCCTTCAACTACTAAGTGCAGCATTTGGCTGAACTTCCTATGGTGATTCCATGTAGCTAGCAGCCCCAAATCTTGCTGCCTCATTTCATCCCCCTAAGGTAAGTGACTAGAAGCTCTGCGTTATGAAAACATATTAGGTGCTTCTCCATCCTGTTATATAAGCTGCTAAAAAAATACGGATATTTTGGGTTCCATGGGATGGACAATGAACCCCTGACAGCTACTTTGAGTTCAACCCTCCAGACCATCATAAAAGCATTCTATTTCCCAGTACCGTAACATCTCATGGAGAGTGCATGGGTGGACATAAAACATACCTCACCCAGATGGTCAGAATGGAGAGAATGAGTTAAACATCTCTCTAACGACACCTTGCATGAGTTTCCTTCCCCTAGTAGGTTGCAAGAGGCATTGGTTGGCATCAAGAAGTCACCTGCTTGCACTGGATTGCTCTTTATCTCTTTGGGAACAAGTGTTTTGCCACAAGAATGTCCTCAGATGGACCTTGTAAAAGGCCAGGAACCAGTACTACCCAGCCTGTCACGAATGAGTATTTCTTTTTAAAAGGAAGGCCAGGAGTGACCTGCAAGTGTATCATATCTGTTGGGCTTCAAGTTCTCAATGGTTCTAAATGACACTGCTTAGAAAAAAGAAAAAATGTGTTTTCTTACCATCATTCTGATTTTTCAAGTTTCTTCAGTATTTGGTCCATCTTTGCTGCTTCATAGACACAAGTGCAGCTGACAGAACTCCCCAGACATGGATCTGGTTGAATCATGCAGATCCATCCTTTTTAGGAGCGTTAGTCTGCCATGAGGCCTCCCCTCAGCCTCTGCTCTGGGCTCAACAAACCAAGGAATGGCTGCTCCTTGTACATCTTGCCTTCCAGCCCCTTCCCCATCTCCTTTGGACCAAAATTCAGGTTTGGGGAGAAGCCCAGAGCGAGAGGGAGTATTCAAAATAGGTCTCCTGTGAAGACCAGTGCCATAGCATGCACCTGCACTGTGCTACAGCCAAGCCCAGGCCCAGCTCTGTGACTTGGACCCCAGGGGAGATACCTTGCTGACACTGTCACAGGACACGGGGTCTCTTTGGATATTGGATTATATAACAACAGACCACGGATGAAGTCTGATGGATTTTATTGTAACTACACACACCGATTACCAGTATAATTAAGCCTGAGTGGAATGTGAGCAATCTAAGCATAAGAAAAAAGAAAAAAGGGAAAAGCCACTTGCCATGCAGGCACAGCACAATACTGTTAGCAATCAATCTTACCTGTCGATGAGCCATGGTTGGGCAAATTTTTGGCATCTCATGTTCTCTGTCATGCTATTTGATTTCTCCTTCACTGGGCATCCCCCCTGGGCCAGCCTGTCCCACCCTGGTAAACTCAGCAATGTCAGGGAGCAGAGAAATGCATGGGTTACACAAGCTGGGCATTTAAGGGCTTTACACGTGAGGCTGGATTTTCCTCCCTCTCTGGGAGTGTATTAAAAACTGTGCACATTGTGAGACATTCAAAGGCAGCAGGAAGGACCATGGGGAGAGCTATCTGTAATGCTGCCCTGAGTTCAAGTCAATAGCTGTGCTTGATGTTGCGTGACCTCACCA